AATGAGACACAACTGCAGATTTTGAGATACCTGGCAGAAGTTTCTAAAGTCATGTATTCCCACAAGAAGAGCTCCAGCACGACGCATGCGCTAAAAGATAAGAATTTAACAAATACTGAACGAAAGATACAAGGGTGCTCACCTCTATATTCAAATTAGCTTTAGGCATACTGTACTTATATATCCGCATACTGCAAGCATGTCTGGCTGAAAAATCTCGGGGTACCGGAGCCCACCTATAATAATAATGATACATAGATGAGAAGTATTGCTAACAGTTAAATATTGGAGTTTTCTGATAGGATAGACTTCTCTACCAATTACCATGTAGGCAGCAGTTACAAAACCTTTAGTGCTTAGCAGAAAGTAAAACAAGTAACGTACGCAAAGACGCTCATGTTCTTGGGTAAAACACCGTTTAACATCTTCAAATAAGAAAGTTCCTCCTTCTTGGGATAGTTATCAATCAAAGTCTGATCCGTTGATTCCGGCCAGAACACAAATTTACCAGAAGTGTCTGCTGATCTGGAAGTGGTTTCTTTTGTTAATCCAAAATGAATACATCTGATCACAAAGAAGATACCTCACCACAAGTGCAGCAACTTGTTTGAAAGCGGACACCCCTCTGTCGGTTCGTCCACAGCGAGAAAAATCACAATCTTTTACATCGGAAATCAGTTTTGTCTTCAGCAGCGCATCCATCAAATGCTAAGAAAACAAGGCTACTCATATTATTTATTGAGCCCTGAACAGACCTATGAATCACTCACTCGTTCTACAGTATTTTCTGTGTTTGACTGCTGCACTAACCCTTCAAAATCCCAGCCGTGATAAAGAAATTGCAACGCGATTTTACGTTTTGGATGAGCATCAAAATTGAACACCCGCTTTCGTTTAGTAGCTGAAAAGCTGATTTGTATACATTATTCATTAATCTGCGTCGCAAACTCAAGGAAAGAATTATGCATGCAAGTTACGGATTTTGCTAGAAGATCGCAAAGCTTGAAGATGTTTTTAGTCAAAAAAGGCCAAGAGCAGATGCATTTTGGAAGAATTGAAGAGGAAATCGTTACTGTTGATATGTTAAAGGCAAAATCGATGGAATAAAAAAGTTTACTTTAATTCCCA